GTAGTTGATGACATCGGCGTTTGTTCCAAGTTAGTGTACCAGCTTTCCAGAGTCAGTCGTTGAAAATAGTTTGTACTGTAGGTTCTCTTCAAAATGCTTCTCAGTTGTATTTATCGATATCATGGTTTATTAATTTGAAGTGATTTTATTGTTTACGGCAAAGGTGGCAACAGGATAAGACCGCACTATTCCGTTACTCGTTAGATTAGTTTTTGTTTATCAGGGAAACGATAACTAGCATCTTGGAAAAAAAAATCGTTCTTGTTCCAATTTTCAATAGATATTTAACTTTATACCAGTTTTCTCCAGCAATGAGGAAAAAGCACATCGCCCCTATGTTTTTGAGAAAACAAGAGTTTCGTGTTGTATGCTCTTATGAGGAAAACAAAAGTATCAAGTTACAAACATTGGCATGAAAAGTAAAATTGTCATGTTTGCTGGTCAACGTATTATTAATTTAACTCATTTTTTACCTAATTTAGCTTGGTCTTATTCTGTTGCCAGCAATGATCGTAGTTTTTTCGGTTTCAATATTCAACGAAACCCCTTCAAACAACCAAATGCATGAAAAGCTGTATTAATTTTGTAAGACGCTATGAAATCTACAGAGTTTGGGACGTTTCCTTGTCACATTACCCTTCCCAACGCCTGAGAGTGTTTTTGGTTACAATAAGTCAGTTAGAGAAAGAGTTTTGTCACTTTATAGGAGATGTACAACTGTAAGTTAACCTTTTTGAATAGCGCAAGGAATCTTTTTCAAAACGAAAGAACCACTGTGTCCTCTCAAAGTCTACTCTACTTAATTTGCAGTTCAGCTTACCACCATGGAGTCTTCAGGAATATTTGAAGTGGCTCCATACCACAAACCTTTAAGAAAATCTCTGCTAAAAATTCCTGTTTTTAAGAATTGCCTTTAATGGAAGATATCAAAATGCCGCTGAAGACACTAAGAAAAGACACATCCAAACACTTATATCAAGTTTAAATTTCTGGACGTGCCACTAGATTGGCTTCTTGTTTGTTTATTCTGACCATGCGAACAAGAGTCACTGATTCGTCAATTTTAATTGCAACCACTCATGTGTGAAAAACAAGTGTCAAGTTACCATTTGAGACTAAGAAATAAAAATATCTTGTTACATTTACCTACAGCAAAAACAAATTTCAAAACTCAGCAGCGTTCTCATTCATAACTAGCCGTCTGTAATTTCTTTGGTTTTGCCAGAGAAAACCACTTCAAATGAGTGTCTCAGTATCAACTCCAAGGAACATTTCAACAAGAAGACAGTGTTACTCCGTGAACAGTGTTACTTAATTGAAACTTCCATTCACAAACTGAAAAATTTTGCACAAACATAAATGGTTTGGATTCAATTCTTTTTTCGTGAACTGCACATCATGCAAACAATATTGATGGGAGCCTGGCGAGTACCATCACAGACGAATTACTTGTTTGCATGAATCAAAATGAATTCAGTGGTCAGGAGTGTTTTCTGTTGTTAGATGGTCAAAATAAACCATGTTGCTGCTTTGTCTAATGTATACTTTTCTCAGTTCCAGTGTATAATCTTAAATTGTGTGAAGTGCCACCTGGCATTGCAGAGTGTCTTTTTGGCATAGCTTTTTGTTCAAATCAATCCAAGGGAATCTCTCTCTCTATGACTCTATTTATGTTTACAAAACTGCACATGATGTAAGGACATTATATTGATATTTACAGAGTTGTTGATTATGGCCCACAGTATGTGCAATTTCTCTTTCCCGTTTGTAGGCCATTGGCCATCCACTGCAAAAAACTGTGGAGAAATAACTAAAAAGTAAATAAATTAATTAGATGGACAGAAAACTACTCTTTTCTGGCTCACCCCATGGGACTCCAACTAAGGGTGGCATCAGAAATATAAAAGCTAGTTTCCTTGCATCAGAACAATATGACATGTGCCACAAAATGTTTAAAGTATCAAGAGAATTGTTAGTGTGCTTTTGTTTAGACTGAGTTTATTTTTGTGGCAGACAACTAACTTCAGTCAACAGCTCAGTCCTGAATTTTTTGCAAGATTTGTTTCTGCAACTGATAAAGTGGCATGCACAACAAAAAAAAAAATTGCGATGATCTTTCATGCAATGATACTTCATCACTTTTACTCGAGAGTGCTCTCCTGACTGTTTACAAGAAAGATTTGAAATCATTTGCATTGAAGTAGTAGTTTTAAACCAAAAGGCTCACTATGTATTGCAGTTAGAGGGGTAGATATAAGTAAAAAGAATTGAAGTTCTTTCCATTACGTTTTGTACATGTACATATACATTGACAGCAGCTACACGGTAGATGTGAAACTGGCTCGACTTTTTCCTTTACACTGTGTATGACCTCTTAGTTGTTGCATTGTAAGGTTTTGTTACACCAGGTATCATGAGACTTCACTGACCACGCTTTATTGACCAGGAGAGCCTGGATACTAAGTAATTTATATCTGGTCAGACCAGTTTTAATGCTTCACATTGTCATACAATAATTGAGAAAATGAATGGTCTGTGATAGCTGACATCAACTAATGGCATTAATTGAATGATACAACTCTTGATGAACTCTTAATAGTGTGTGTTTTTGTGACCATTGATACAATTAATGAAATCAATAATTTGTGGGACACATTTATTGTTAATTATTGATTGATCAGTGCAGCGTGTCCAATTCCTATTTTTTAGCAGATTTCTACTTTCTCCTATATTTTAAAAATAAAACCTCCTAGTTTTCCTATTTTTTGCTGATTAAGCACTTGTGTTATTTTTGGCTCCTCCATTGTAACTTGATTGTACACTACTTGAAAATGGGGGTGAATTGTTTGAATACTTAAACATGTGTAAAATGAAATCCAAAATATGTTTTGCGATTAATTTTGACTTGGAGCCAATAATGCTGGACCACATCATGTTATGCAAAATGGTATTTTAGAACCTTTGGCCCCAAAATAAAGGGTTTTGTGGGAAGGTTAAACATTCTGTCTCTGGAAATCTTTCTCTGAGTGTATTTGAAACCTATATTCTTGGTATTTAATGTTTTGGTTATATGTGCTTAAGAAAGGAAACTCTAACAACAATTTAAAGTTAAACTTTAGGTTGCTAGAATCCTGTTGTGTCCATACCCTCATGTGATTTAAAGTAACCACTCGACTAAATGTAAAGTAACTCTACATGTTTTTTGCTGTGGTTGGGTAATATACAAATATGGTATTTATGGGGATTTTTAGTTTTAAACTGTTGCAAAATAATGGACACGATGTAGTGCCCATACCCCCTTGTAGTGTCCACACCCCCTACGCCTTTAAGTGCAATTTATGACAGAAAAAGGCCTTTTTTATCTTAAGAAAGTTTTGCCATTAAGATTCTGTAATTTCAGTTAATGGATACCTTCCTGGTATCTAGTAACTAGAGATACCTATCATCCCCCATTTTTGTGTAGGTACATTTTTGTACATTTGCATCACTGTTGAAGGACAGCAGATGGAGATAGCTGATGGGTTGCAGGGAGTCTATCTTTGTCCATCAAAGCAGCATTGATTTTCCTATTTTTTTTGAAAGAAAGTTCCTATTTTTCCTATTTTTTTAATCTTGCATGTCCTATTTTCCTATTTTTCTGAACAACCATGTTGTGGACACCATGTCAGTGTCAAACTTCAACGTATGTTATTGATTGATTTTAATTGACTGATTAAGAGTGCTTAATTGATCGGATTGAATTGCTTGTAGTTCTTGTTCATTTTCACTGATAACATTAGTATTGTCCGGGACCACACAAATGATTTTAATATAGCACGTTGATTAATAACCAATGTATTACAATACAAGCTCTGCCATAACCTACAACTGTAGCAACAGCCATAAGCAAATTATTAACTTACTTTGACCACACACAATTTATTAAAATAGTGCACCTGATCATGAAAGACATAATCAATTACCTGAAGATACCAAAGGATATATTACATTATACTATTGTTTTGCCGGCCCCAATTGTAATAATAATGATAATGATAATGATAATGATAATGATAAGATAATGATAATAATAGTATTAATAATAATAATTGCAATAATAATAATAGTGGTAATAATAAATGAATAAAACACTTCTTTTAGTGTCAAAATGTTTAGTACTACTGCACTAATTGGGGACACTAAAATACGCAAACACCCATATTGTTCTATTATATTGACTTATTCGTTTTGGAATTCTTCTTTCAGGTATATTCTGTTGTTGATGAGATGTTTTTGGCTGGTGAGATTAGAGAGACAAGTCAGAGCAAAGTATTAAAGCAGCTTCAAATGCTACAACAATTAGAATGATGTCATTTCGTATCAGTGCACTCTCTGAGACAGCATAATTAAACATTAAAGTAGTGACTTACTCCTTTACATATAAGTTTTAGATTAAGAATTATAGCCGGGCTAATGCAAATTTCTGTATTTGACCACCTGTACCATTTAAGACGTGATATGGAATACAAAAGCCAGAATCCTTCTCTTCATCTTTTTCTCAGGCTAATTAGGGGATTTCTTAGTCCACTGAGGTTTAGAAATTTAAATCATCGTCAACCTTCTTGAGACGCATTTAAAAGGCCTGTACTGTCTTTTGCCATCTTTCAGCTTTCGCTCCCAAGGCAGGTACATGCACTTACGTTCTTTATCAGCTGAATGAAATGACTTCCTGCAAGTGTCCTGTTGGAGTCGAATTGAAAAAAAAGGAGTCCTTACATTGGTTATTAAGGCTGCTTCCCATCTTCAAGGGCACAAAAAAGTAGTTTTTTTCTTTTGTTTGACAAAATTTAAGTCAATCATTTTATCTAATGTTTACAAAAGAAAAATCTTGAAAATCTTAAAAAGCTGTCGAGTTATTTAGAAAAAACGTATTTTCAAATAAAGTTAATAAACCAGAAAGGTGTCATAATCTCGTAAATGGACGAAACCGCCAGGGGAATTTTCGCGGCAAACGCTCATTTTGGAGCTCGTATTACATGTTATTTGGTATTGTATATATCGTGCATGTGACAAATTTGTAAATAGAAACCCTTTGCGCTTGCTCTCAAGTGGAAAATTCAAAACAGAAAAACAAGAAAAGAAACAAACAAGCCTAAAGAAGAAAGAAAGGACCCATTTCTGTGTGGGAAAGAAAACAAAACCCCCTTCTGAAAGCAACAAGGGCTCTAAGCAGTCTGCCTGGGCTGTCTACTTTTATTCGTTGTCGTGCTCTCCGGTACATTTGCTGGCTTTACTTTTCTTGTCGCACAATTTATTAAAGAGTCCAAGTGGGCAATTTAAGGACTCTTAAAATGCACGATTTAAGGAGTCTTAAAGTGCGCAATTTAAAGACTCTTAAAGTGCGCAATTGAAGGACTCTTAAAGTGCGAAATTTAAGGAGTCGTCTTAAAGTGCGCAATTTAAGTAGTGTTAAAGTGCGCAATTTAAGGAGTCTTAAAGTGCGCAATTTAAGGGCTCTCAAAGTGCGCAATCTAAGGAGACTTAAAATGTGCAATTTAAGGAGTCTTGAAGTGCGCAATTTAAGTAGTGTTAAAGT